GTTCTCTCTGAGGATGCTGAAGGCGATTTATCTGCATGCAGGAATTTACATTTGCTTCCGAACTTGCAGGTACCCTCTTGCCAATTCCAACATACCTTCTTTTTGGGTCCAGCTGAAGATGAACTTCCTCTACCTTTCCCTCTTGATGAATCTCGACTTCCGCTTCTGCCTTTCTTACCTTTCATCTTGGCATCATAGACCTTCTGAGAATGACTGTAAAGACATTTGTCACCTTTGTTGCATCCTCCCTTATTGAAGAAGTAGTTACAGAATATCTTCTTCTTGTCAACGGGTGAAGATGATCTTCCCTTCCCACCTTTGCCTTTCTTGTTGTTCTTGTCGGCATGGGATTTCGGAGAAGGTGTAGGAAGTACCGATGCAGCTTCACTCTTCGCTTTCGCCTTAGGACGTTTGGGAGGATCACCTGTAGACGATGCGGCCGCTTCATTCTCCTTCTTGGTCTTGACGGGAGCGGCAGGCTTGTCCGCATCTTCTAAGGCAGGTGTCGTCTTGTTAGAGGACAATGACAGTTTCACTGCACGTTCTCTATCTTTCAACAGTCGTTCTTGCTTCCCTCGTGCTATGTATCCCTTGATCATACCAGTTAGGTAAGCATAGGTCTTCTCAGGATGCCCTTCATCAAAGGTTTTGTATCGGTTGATATCGAAGGCCATAAGCTTTGAATGTTCAATCTTCCGGAACAACGTGTCACGCAGGGAATTATTGGAAGGCAGATCATCATGTTTCATATTGTATACGATGTCAAGCCACTTGTTGTAGAAGGCCTCAAGTTGGTCATCTCCATAGTAGTTGAACATATACAAATGATGGGCATTGTAGAGAACTTCAGTGTGGTCAGGTGACTTGAAGCTAATCAATATCATTGCAAATAGTTCTCGTCCCTTGATGAAGTCCCCACTCCTCCCATACAATTGGTTCTTCATGGACATGTCATACTTCACTTGCATGGACTTGTCCCCAGCATTGTCAATGACTTTCCTCAAGGCGTTGGAGAGCTTGGCATCAATGGATTGGAATCTCACATCAGGAGCTTTGGCCAGCGCCTCCAAGTCAGGTTGATCTGCAAGACACGGAGCTAACCACGCTTTCCAATCTTCATAGTTTCGATCTCCACTTGCAACGCAAACTTCATGAACGACACTTCCCTTCCAGGATGAAAGTTCAGTGGTCTTAGGCCAGGGTTGGAGGCTGATCTTTTCGGCTTCTCTTAGAGATACAGATGACTTGGATCTATCCCTTTCAAGGTTCTCCAACTCCTTGACATTTGTGTTGTACTCGTTCCTGAGCTTCTCGAAGGCTTCAGCTTCTGCTCGATATTCCTGCTCTTCATCATTGGCACGATCTTCAGCTTGAGAGAAATTGTTCTTATAGTAATCTTTACGATCTTCCATCTTCTTCAACTCATCTTGAAGATTTCGAACTTCAGCGTTCCTCTCTTGCTTCATCTCGTCCAACTCTGCTTTCAGTTTGGCACACTTCTCTTCACATTCATTCCGAGGCATGGCATTACTGGGGTACCCATGTAATGTAGTCGGTCTATTCATTAATGAAGAAGAATAAGCTTGGTTTTCCAACTTCAGGGCAGCAATGGTGCTCGACATCTCTTCTACCTCAGCGTAACGCTCATTGGCCAATTGATGCATCTCGGTCAAATGGCTTTCAGGAATGGAATAGTCAGTCGCACCTTTGATCACGAGTCTTCTGTCGTTCAACATTTTGATGGACTTACCTGCATCCCTGTGAGCACGCTCAAGAGAGTCCTTTTGGGCTTCAAGTTCAGTATGAAGGCGAGCAATAGCTGTATCCCTGTCATTGAGTTCATTGTGCAAACTGTCAAACAAGGTACTCGTCACATTCGGATTGTTGCTCATGTGATCGATCTTGTTCAGAGCATCTTGATATTTCTTACCAGTTTCATCAAAGTTTCGCTGGAATACTTTGAGCAGGTCCTCAGTGTCAATGAGTTCAGATCTATTCTGCAAGTACAACTTGTCAACCTCAGCCTTAGATTCCTTCAAGCTGTCACGTTCACGCACGGCTTGCATGTACATCTCATAGAGAGGTCCTCCATGCGGTGATCTGCTTGGTGATGATCTTCTGGCTTGTTGACAGGAAAGTTCATGATACTGATTCTTCGATTCAGTCAGTTGCTGTTGCATTCGATCTAAAAGACTTTGTTTCATGTGTAGTTCAGAACGTAGTCCCATGATCCTCATGTCCCGCATGCCACCTGATTCAGCTAGAGATTCTTCAGAAACCCTGTTCTCAGAAATCGCTAGTCGAGATTGTAAGTTCTCACTGTGGATCACCTGCAATCGAAGCTGCGATTCTTCCAGAGCTAAGTGATGTTCACATTCTGCATAACGGTCATGTTCAGATCTTATGTTACTACGGAACTCCTTCATGATCTCGTCCCTCTTCATGTCAGCAGCATCGAGCTCAGTTTCCAGTCGCCTGACGTTCATGGCCATGGTGTGCTTCATCGTCTGGTTCTGATTAGCAACCTCGAGCATCTCGATCTGTAAAGCACATGTCTGGTCGTTAGCATAACCGACCGCTAGAGCTTCCTGCTTGGCATTCATCTCTGCGTTTTCCAGTTCCAGTCTGAGTTGATTGATGTGAGCATTCGCATCAGCGCCCACATGCACCATAATTGCGTTAGCTTGTCCCATTTGTTCATCGAATTCCGAACGTAGTCGTGAATATTTGAATTCCAAATGAGATGCAGCTTCATTCGACATAGTCTGATACCTTTCCAACTCTTCGATCCTGTAGGTCGCACCTTCGTCTTCTTGTTGTGCAGCCTGTAACTCGAAGTTCAGCATCTGGAGTTGTTCGGTCATCGACATCATCTCTTGATGAGTGGTGCTTTCCAGGAAATTAAATTGTTGATAGGCATATGCTGTCGTCTCGCTCAATCTTGCCTGAAGTACGGATTCTTCTTCAGTGGCCCTTTCCAGTGATGTCTTGTATTCAGCTAATTCACTCTGATAGGCAGTGAAGATGTCGCTACCACTTGATGGGGCGTTCACTTGTTGATAAGATCCTGTCCCTGATGGAGTAGCGTCCTGAATCGGTGAAGGCGGATTCGACGACGTAGTCTTTGCCTTGGTCCTTGGAGTCATCGGAGGCGACAATTGTCGTGCAGATGATCTTCTCTTTCCAGGTGTGCTGTCCCTATCTTCAATTGCTTGCATTGTCGAAATTTGTCTCCCTCTAGGAGCAACCAGAGGTCGCCTGGGTAGGCTTGTTCTCAATTCTGAGGCATCGCTTCCACCAGTGTCGATACTCTGTGAAGAATTTGACTGCGTGCCGGCAGCTGGTGCAACGGCATGTCCAGAGAAAGAAAATGCATTATCGCTGCTATCCTGTTCAGTCATCTGTAAGGCCCGCGGCTACCCGCTCGTAGGCTCCGTAGGAGTCCTACGGCTGATAACCTGTGAATCGGAGGTTATCTCCCCGATTATGTTCTGATGTTTAGTTGCGTTCAGTGACGACGGCACAGGAGTTGCGGCTTCAGCATGGCTATATTTTCCTTCTGGTGCTTGCAGTGATCTTGAGCCAAAGGTGCAATTCGATGCATCCCTTGGCGGTGGACAATAAGGAGTTGAAATACATAGGAGTGCGTGATAGTCCGTAGCCTACACTCCATTCGCAATGTATATATATATATATGTATATATATATGTATATTTGTATATGTATATATATGTATATTTGTATATGTATATATATATGTATATATATATATGTATATATATATATATGTGTGTGTGTGTGTGCGTATGTGTTTATATATGTATATATGTGTATATATATATATATGTGTGCGTGTTTTTATCTGTAATATGTATGTATGTTTATTATATATATATATTATATATATTATATATATATTATATATTATATATATAGGAAGTAGATACATAGCACATGTATATATTACCATAGGTAGCACGTAGGTACTTTGATGGAGTATGTGTGCTACGTAGGTCGTTTAAAAGTAGCATGTACCTAGTAAATGCGAGGCTGGTAGTCAGAAATGCTGCAAAGACCTAGCAAATACGAGGCTGGACCTCAGACATGCTGCCAATAGCTTTCAAATAGAAGGGAAAGGGGTGCTACCTGGGGACCCATACCATTGGGTGGGGGGGTAGGAACACGGAACACGAGACCATATATCCGATAATATATCCGTCTCTCTCTCCATCGCCTTCTCGATGAGTGTCAGCAGTCAAGGATATCAACAAGCTGCTTCATTTCTCCCACCCATGTGCCCTGCAGGAGGGACATCTCAATAACTATATGTATTAAATATAATTAAATAACTAAATATAATAGAATATGTTTAAATAAGTTACTGTAAATATATCTAAATTCAGTTATATATATATACGTTGTATTAGTATGTGCGACATAGGTACGGCCCTGAGGTTCCAGCTGACATATGCTGACATTATAATTATAACTCAGTTCATCTACAGTAATTTCCCATGAAGGGTACAGCAACAAGAACCAACGCGGCCTCGGAGAAGCCCTGGCATCCAACAGGAAAGCGACAGACTCCGCTTTTCCAGCTGCTGCAGCTGCCAGCAAGGCCTCGGCGAAGGGACAGCCCCGGGAAGATGTGGAAAGCTAAGTCTTACGGCGCCTCTTGTGACTCCATGTGACTCCTCTTGTTTGGTGCAGGCTGTTCATATCTGTGCAATTTTGTGCACATCTGTTCACCAAGGGAACCGTCTCAGACTAGCAGTTGCAACCCAACTGGCGAATGACCTCAACTTTAACGTTGAAACGGCAAGTGTAAGCAGAGGTGCAGCCCTCTCAGCTAAGAAAATGCTAGCAAGATGCTGTGCGGCCAGCCTAGCGCGTGAGGGATCATGAGGGAAGGAACAGTCGTTGAACATGCAAAATTAATCAAAATTATGCAAAACTGGTCCAACCTGCGGAAGGTCTGAGTCTGATGATGTCTGATGGTTCTATGGCTCTCTCTCTCTAGCTGAATTGTTTGGAGGAGGCAGCACTAGTGCTGATATGTTGTGAATCCAAGAAACATAAGCTGCATCTGGTGCAGCAGCTTTCCGTTGCAGCAATTCACGGCATCGCTGGAGGTCACCAGCAGCAGCAGCGGAAACCCTGACAGATCTGACAGTGCGAAGATGTCCACGTCTATCACAAAATGTCACAAAATGCAAGTGATGACAGCCCATGACAGCAATCTCTTGGTTGTTTCAAAACGGTCAGCCGAGCAACAGCTGCTCCTCCGGCTCTACAATGGGCACGCTCGTGCGGAAGCTGTCACGTTTCAGTCTCCACTCCTGAAGCTATCGCTGGAGTTGCCGGATCGTCTTGACTGATTGAATTCCAATGACCTACCAATCTGCTAGTGTACCCATGGAATATCATGAAATAATTATGGCTTACACTTTTAAACAAACAAATATCACATCAGGTTACAGTACAGCATGTGATAGCAGGTGGATAATGTGATATGAAAGCGTATGTATGCTGTATGATTCTGTATGCGCATTGCATATGACTCATTATGACATTTTTGTCCTTTGTGGCTAGCATCCTTCTTTATCCTGTTTCCGTCTCCTCCACAATCAACCTACAGGGCAGAATAACCATGAACCCAGTGAAGGTCCTTGCTCAACCGCTTGATCTCCTCAGTTCCAGCACCGGGATTCTTTCACCGCAACCACTGCTGGACCACCTCCATCATGATCATGATTCTGATGATGATGATGATGATGATGACGACGAGGTCGAAGACAGCCATAATCATCAACAACAAACAAAAAGGCAGCAGAAATATGATGAAATATGTAAGGTACAACAACTCCATTTTGACTTGTCAGGTTGCTCTAAAGGCCAAGTCGGTGAAAGGTCTGCTGACCAGGGCCAAATGTGTTTCGTTGGTAGATGGATGAAAATAGTAGAAATAAGCAGAGAAACGAAAAACATGTTTATCCACTGTAAAAGCGACGAAAACAAACAGCATACAAATTGCGCTAATGGCGTATCAAAGACTTAAAGAAGACCAAATATCCATGCAGCTGCAAGGACCGGACACTGAAACGAAACAAACTCGGGGTGTTCTTCACCCTAAATTTTGTCCAGGTATCAAGCTTGAAGTTGCCATCGCACTGCCAAGTCGAAAGTGGTTGAAAAACCAGCGGCTCACTAGAAAAAACGTGAAGCATGGAGGATACTGAATAGAGGTCTATCCTTTTGTGTACCCATCCAGATCAATTCAAGTGCTGTCACACCAACTGGGCCAGTCAAGCACAATGGAAACATTGCATTGAGCCCAGGCCTTCAAACTTTCTGGCAACTCAACGTCTGCCATCCGCAGCTGGCCTGCAGAAATGTCCGCATCAAATCTTTTCCTGCAGGCGCACTTGGCAATGCCTATCTTGTTTCTACTTGTCAGTGCCTGCGTCACTTCCCCAGCGGGCGCTGCCACGGCATCCGGTGCTACTTAAGGCCAAATGTAGCAGAACAGAAATGCAAAAATATTCTTCCGGCGCAACCAAGAGAAGCCATGTCAAAGTCTCTCAAAGTCCTATTACGTGCTCCATGAATGCGACATGAGGACACAGCTGATTTCAGCAGTGAAGCAGAGCATCACTTTGGCCAAAATGCTGAAAAGGCGGGGAAAGACGAAACTGAGCAAGGAGCTTTTGTGTTGCCAGTCAGCGCCGTGCCTCAAGTATGACAAGAATATACAAGAATCATTCGTAAAACCATCCGCCGGAAAACATCCAAAAACAGCCAGCTGCCATACGAACTAAACATCGAATCATGGGCGAACGGGAAGCGCACCCTCCTCCCTGATGGTTGGGCATACGCAGTCTCCTGCCAAATTAGGCATGTATATGCATAGATCGCTGCTGTGAAAACATGACACTGAAGTTCAATTCGTTCCGATTTCTTGCTGCTGGTTTGTGTGATTATTACTTCTGTTTCTTTCATTTTCTAACATCTTCTTGCATCCTCTTTCGTCTTATTACATCTTCTGACATCTTCTTGCTTTGTCTGCATGTGTATATAAAATTTATATCTGTAATTATCTGTATCTATATATATATATGATATGCATGATTATACATCAACATATATGGAGCCCGGTCATGAAGCGGTTGCGAGATAGCTCGAGCGATGCTTGGCATCAGCTCTTCCCCGCGACGGCCTCAAATGTGGCATTTGGATCATTTGGCGCTTGGTTTTAGCATTGCTCTTGGCGTTGCTCTTGGATCCAAGCTGAAGGGTGATTTTGGCGAGGGTATAGACAGCTTGCTCGACCCCTGATCAAGTGACCAGCGGCTGGAACGCTAGGAAAAAACGAGATGCTTTCATGTGCATAAGGCCAAAAGGCAAACATGGAAAACAAGATCAAACAATCAAGCAACGATGAAGATTTGAGAATCCAAAATAATCAACAAAGGATCAACAACGGATCAACGCTGCATTAACAATGCGCGCATATTCGTGCACCTTCGGGCTTGTTGTTGGTGACAGGATGCCCCCACGGCTGAACTCAGGGAGGCTCAAGTTTCGAGGCATCCGATCACCTTCAACATCTTCAACGCGTTCACGAAAATCGAAATCTATCGACACGTCAATGCAGCAAATGCACGCTACACGTGAGCTCATGTCTGTTCTGTTGATCTGCGCCTAACATTGCTTACGCTTACTACAACTCATCTGCACTTGCAATCGTGTCTTGGTGTTCACAATATATATATATATATACATAAATATATATACATGTATGTCTTGCAACTGAGTTGGCAGGGTTTCATGACCTCGAAGTGGCTATCACACAGCACAATTATCACTATGTCCCTGGGCTGAAGCCCAAAGTATCCCTGCAATCTTCTGCCAACATTTCTTGTCTTGCGGACTTGCGGACAGCCCGGCCCTCATCTGTGATAAGCAAGTCTCAGCCCCAAGCCAGGGACACTTGTGGAAGGCCGACCGCCCTTGGCAATCATTCTGATAGGGTAGCGCCATGATGCTCACGCCATTATGCTCACATCAAGTGCAGGCAGAAAGTTGGACTTGAGGAGGCACCACAAAACAGGACACTACCATGAACACCCCATCACAATGCAGATGTTGGAAAAAAAAATCCAAGGGTGGCTTGCCTTGGGGCTTGAAGTTGGTGATGTGTCCTTGCGCTGGGAAAAACAAACGAATCACTACTCTCTCTATATAATTATATAATATATATATATGTGTGTGATTTGCATGTTATATAACCTACATTGTTCGCAAATTCACATATCACTACTTACTGCTGCATGCTGCTGCTACCCTGCTACCCGTCCCACTCCAGCTTCGAAGTGGGAAAGGTCCTGCAACTCAAATGACCTGCCCATAGTGCCAAGTGCTGTGTTGGGCCTGCAAGGACACTGTGTATGAATGTGGTCAAAGTTTGGCCCAAAATTGCCAAAAATCCTCTATGGCTTCAGTGACTGCCTTCTCTTGTTCAGCGTGTTTGCCAATGGCTGCGTGCCAGACCTCTCAAGAACAAATCCAATCGCGCCAAAATGCCGAAAACACATTGCCCATCTGCTGTGCAAACTGCTATGCACACTAGAGTGGAGAAAAACCACAGAGTAAACATAGTAAACTAGTAAACAATGTCCACACGAAACAATCGTCCATGGATGTTGACCGCTCCATATATTGTGCGAGCAAGTGGCAAATTGTTCCAACCAAGCTCCATTGCAGTAGGGGACCTAGGCAAAGGTGAATCCAGCCTTTTCTTGATATATCTTTGACACAGGTGCTAGTTGTTGCTACCATGCACTTGCTACATCATCGCAACCTCCCAATGCTCCCCATTTGAAGCACGTTGGCTGAGTTCAGCGCTGCGGGCGCAAGGTGCCATCAGATTGCATGGTGGAATCGAAAAAACCATACTGTGGCTTTGGTGAGGGAGGGCCTGCCGTCTATGGCTGAGATTTCCATGGATTTCCATGGGTTCACGTAATGTCAAAAGTATGTGAAAATAGGATAAAAGTGATGTGATGAACACGCACAATATATATATATATATATCTATCTATCTATATCTATCTATCTATCTATCTATATCTATATCTATATCTATATCTATCTTTCTATATTTCTATCTTTCTATCTATATATAAGCCATATGAAATGAATACTGGAGTCTGTTGGCTGCCTTCCAAGGGATTGACTTTGAGCGTCACAGTGCCACCACCTCGGCCAACATGAAACTTCGCGCAGCTTCAAAGGGTTTGTGCTGGCAGCTGGCAATGGAAATCTTGGCCAAAGTTTGGCCAAAGACTTGACACACACACACAGATATCTATATATCTATATATGTATATATACACACACGAAATATATGAAATATATGACAATGAATATATAACACAGATCTGTATAATATATATATATATAGATAGATATGAAATATTGTGAAATAACTCAGATCTGCTAAGATCTGCTTAGATCTGCTTTGATCTCGGGGCACGGCGTGCTTTCTCTTGGTGCTTTTTGGTCTCAATTTCCAGCCAGTCAGGGGAGTACATGTGTTTTGGCCTCAGTGGATAATTAGAGGTGGGCAACGCTTTGGCGAAGTGACAGTTGTCCAACACTGAGTCTGAGGATCTCGACTTGTTGGAACTTCGTGCGTAGTACCTCCACATGTCAAATCCTATCAAAGTCCTCTTTCTCAAATGCATGTCTAAGAGTCCACAAAGTGCAGTGAATTGAGTAGGCGGGAAGAGTTTAAACTCCATTGCTAAACAAAATCTGAGCAGCTGTAGCTCAAGCGAGCGCACTCATCTGCATGCCACTTGAAGCTTCCAGCAGTGATGTTCTTCCTGTCAAGTTTCCACCTGAGCACCAAAGTCTGAGTCTGACCGACCAGGGCAAAAGAGACCATGGCTGAATCAGAGATCGAAAGACTTGGAGCTACATGGAGCTACAACATTGTTTCTGCTCGCCTTTTCCTGACCATGGCACAAAAAAATAAGACTGGGACAGTGCTCCGAACCTGTCAAAAAATAAACACGGCTCAGGATTCAACTCTTCCATCTTGCTCAGGGAGCCAACCTTGGGGCAAAGATGGGCAAAGAATCATTTTGAGCATTTTGAGCATTTTGAACATCAGATTAGGGTCCCTAATTTGGCTCCGCACTGGCCGCACAAGCGGATTGCAGTGACGTGAAAACACTAAACGGCTGCAGTTGGAGCACACCATCGAATCTTGGATGCATTCCCCGCTGACCCTGCCACACAAGTCAATTGAGCAAATTGGTTCAGGAAAAATAGATCAATATAGGGGATAGTAAGCTCAGCAACCCTCGAGTATACCTACCGATTTCGCATGTGGCGGCTATAGTATATTATATATAAGCATATGTAAGCATCATACTGCGCCGCCTTGATTGCACCAGCTACAATCAGGCCAAATCAGCCAGGTGAACAGCGAGACCAAGGCGGCTAAGGCAGTCGTTTACGATCTGCGCTACTGATGCAGTCTGGGAGCTATCCCGCAGCGGTCTATTACTAAGCTCTTAGATGCAAAAAGGAAGAACTCTGGCAAAACTCACATTCGCCTCGCAGGCAAGAGAAAATCTCAAAGAGTAGATGAAGTCGCGATCAGTCAATGCATGCTGACAACCCAAGCAATCAACCTTTCAGCTATGAGCGCTGCTTTTTCCATCAGTCGAAAATACGCATAAGACTTTTTTTTACTGAATCAATCTTGACAAAGCTTGAGCGGCCAGAAACTATCGTGAAACAGAAACATGTGAACAAGTTCGAACCGCACGAAAGCATGTGAGCGTTAGAAAGACCGTGGCAAACAAGAATACAAGTCATGCAAATCTGTAGGGTTCTGTAGGATTCCGTGATGTTCCATGAGCGATTAGGTAAGTCTGAGTATGTGCACATGTCACATATTCGATATGAATTTTAGATGGTATGTGAATATTATGAATATTAATAATAATTGTATGAATCATACATTGCCAAATTGTTTGCCAAATATTCAGCTCAGGACCTTGCGCCGCACTTGATGCGGCAATCTGAGCAGGCACGGTCACAAAACACCTTTCACACCGTCCAAGCGGCTTGTCAAGACCCTACGACAGAACCTGGTCTTCAGGTTCGGATTTGGCAGTTCTGCCAAAACCCAAGCAGTTCAGGAGAGATGAAAGGTGCAATTGGAAGTGGCACGAATGTCGGAGGATTTCAAATTTACAGCCTTCTGAAGCTACGATCGCGTTGGATCTTTCTGGGCAGCACCCTGCAGCACTTCACATCGAATCAATGACTTCGTTTCCAAAACGGTGCTGGGGAATGTGAACCATGATGAACCATGACAAGTCAAACCTCAGGGAGTTGGATGCAATGCTACAGGACGCTTCAGGAACTACAGCACTTTGGCGCGCAGTTCATGGCGGCCACGTGCAGCCAGTCTAGGCTTTAGCTCTCTGCAGCTGGACGGGTGTCGCCGGCCTGATGGGCCAGTACATAATCAGCGTTGAGTATATTAAGTCATAAAATGCCATAAATAGTTACATGAGCTATATAAAGATATATATAATGATGATACAATAATGCGTATATATATAATGTCCATATAGTGTATATATATATTATTATATATTATGTCTGTGCATGTCGTGTTGAAGTTATATCATAAGCTTCATGATAGAGAGTAAGTAATTCGCAGACTCTCTGCATTGTGCGGTCTTTCTGTGCGCAATCTGTTTACGCCTGGGACTTAGGTTCTTGGCCTGTCTCTCTTCGCTGAGAACCAGCGAAGCCGCTGCTGCTGCAGCTGCAGCACGAGCATACTCCTACATCATGATACGTCACGATCTACATAGTCACAACGTCGTCGGGATGATTGGAATGTAGTCACTTGATTCGTCACTTGATTCGTCACTTGTCAAAATGATTCAAAATGTCGTGTCCTCCATCAAGTTGCGCAAGGCGGGATCTGTGCCTGGATCCAATTCAGCCATGTCCCGTTATTCCACGTGGTTCCACTATGTGAACAATCGAAATAAAAAACGTGCATTTTCATGCATTTTCACCAAACAAACATCTGCAAACAATTGCTTTGACTCGACCCATGCATGTCGTGTGTCAGCCTCGACGCGCGACTGCTAAAGCGCTTGGAATGCCACGGGCAGTGTCGCCAAAGTTTGGGTCGGCACCGCAGCTTAGCAGGACCTGCAACTTGCGTTTGTGGCTCGAAAGAACAGAACCCGCATTCTTGCACTACTCACTACTATATACTGTATATATATATACACGTATAATATATATATAATATATGTAATTATATATATAATTATATATATATATGTAACTTTATATAGTCAGTGCCATCTCCTCTGTCATTCATCGCTTCAAACTTCATTCAAAGCTTGGTCATGTCAGGACAAGGCACACCAACAAAACGATTCACAAGTAAATATGCCAGAAGAAACAACATGCATATCATCCATTTTGTGGTGGGCATGAATTGGATGCTTGCGAATGCTCGAATCGCGTCAGCGATGAATGGTTGACCAAGTCATCAAGTCGTCATGGAACGCATTGAACTGCAGATCGTGCAAGCCAGTCCATAATTATGCCATAACAGTTGCAATCCCCAGTTGCAGTCCCAGACAGACAGTCCATGCAACTTTTGTCATGCCATGACAATGACTATATGCCATGCCCATCCTCACAAAGTTCCATGTTGCCAGCTCGGGTGGCGATGAGCAGCGGGGTCCTGTCACACGGTGTCTCACGTCTCAGCTCTCATGGGCTGAACACTTCATGGTGGGGCCTTCTCTGCTGCTTTGGGATCTACGAATATCTACGATGATCTGAACATCTCTAAGCAATTCCAAACCCAGCAATGGCAAGCAGCTGGACGCAGCTTGAATCAGCTTGAGAACTTTCAGGACTCCTTTGGTCAGCCATGGTCAGCCCATATTCCGTGCCTGCGCTGACCATCCAAGGTGTCCACTGGGCTTCCCGCTTCCAGCAAGACGCGCACAACATGAGCCCACTCCTCCTGTGCAAAGTGGCTGGAGTTGGCCATACACGAAACGCGCCGTTTCTCGCCAAACGTCTCTGAACCTAATGATTCAACGATGATTCAAATTGCTGGTGCCATCTGGTGCCTAGTTGCTACCTTCAGAAGATCCCTTGAATTTCAAGAATTCCCCGCCACTGCTCAACTGCTCCCCAAATCATTGAGGGATATTTGAGGATATGGTTCGAAATGATTCGAAGATCTTGAAAGTGGATTTCAGGCAAGACATGCTTTCGCAAAGTCCACACTCGGATTCAATGGAAACCTCAGCTTTGGTGCCAGATATCTTCCGATTATTCTGAGCCACACCAAAGTTGCCAAAGTTCACTGTCAAGGACACCTGGCCTCGCAAGCCACATGGATTGGCATCCTTCTGAGGCTGTCGGTGGACTCTACATCTGCTCCTGGGCCGAGCAGAGCCGAAAGCAAAACGACAGTCCGACAGTCCACTGTGTCAAAGCCCTGCAGCTTGTGCCGAATTCTTGGAACTTTTACACCTTCCAAAGTTGGAGTATCTTCTACACTTGCTGGGTGAATCGAGTAGCAAAAAAAACTTTCATATAAGACATAAAGTCAGGAGGTACTGCATGGTGCAGTATGAATTTGTACTTAAAAAACTAGAGCAGGTCTTTGTCTTCCTCTGTGTCAAGCAGCAAACAGCGCCATACCACGCCTGCTCGCAAAAGCACCTGACAAGCGGCTTCGCTGCCAGAGGTGGCTGCTCGATGCAGGGCTGTCATCTTTTCCTGGAACAAAAGGATGAAAGAAAGGATGATGGCATGAACTTGGCATGAACATGCATGAACTGGTGAACTCCTATGGTTGACACATTCATGTCGACCCTTAGTGCTAAGATGCTGCTGAATACAGCGGCAAGTTGAGTGGAAGTCCTAAATCAATTTAGCAGGAAACAGCAGGAAAGAGCTGCTATGAAAACCAATCGACTTGCTACCCGGATGACTTACCAACAAAGATCCAGGAGGCCGAGCCTAGGGTCCCTAGGGCCCTGAATGCTCTGCTATGACTTTGTCAGATTTTTAGGCAATCTTGGGCATTGCAGCGAGCCAGCCTTGTCCACTGAATGGACGTAGGCACCACACTCAACCAGGGCCTCCAAGGCAGCCGGGAAGCCGGCATGGCTGGCAAAGTGCCTTGGTCGGCATGAGGGCGTCCAAAAATGGGTCCTTTAGAGCTTGGAGCGCTCTTAATTACAGTGCTTGGATAGCTGGATAGTTTGGTCCCACTCGTTTCACCAGGTCATCAAGGGGTGCGTCCTTTCACTTGTCACTCCAAGATACAAAGGTGTCCAACCATCTGCTGCCTCCGCATTGGCAGATCTTGGATCCTCCATCGCCAAAGGCCAATTGCTTGACGTTTTCATCACATCTATGGCATCATATTGCATCGTTCATGTTCACTCTTTACCCTTTCCACTTCAAAAAACTTGTTGTGCTTCAGGCTTTTAAAAATGAATCAGATTCTCTGATTGAATGCGGTTGAAGGCACAGCTGCTTGACCACCTTGCCTCCGCTACCGCCCTTCACTTGGCTGCTTTTAACACAGCAACTAACCGAGCTGAAACCGCACCACTGGACACCTGAACCTTGGTCAATCGCTTCAAATCCGTCCTGAGAGATCAGCATTCGCAATGCTTCGTCACGCCCTCTCAAAGCAGCCTTGGATCAGACTGCTTCAGCGAGGATTGCAGTACTGGGGATGTACTGTTCTGGGGCTTAGGGTCATTGCAGCATTAATAATTATGTTGGTTTGAACTTTGAAGCCTTTGTGCACATATGAGGCATATGACATATGTTTTCTGATTTTTCTTTGGTGTTTATTCCTTTTTCATGGCTCAAGTGGTTGTGAGCTTGCAATGGGTCGTGCGCCATTGAGCCCAGTTCGAGTGTGCAGCTGAGCCGCACAATGCACTGGTAGAAGATTGCCTTCATCACGAAGTTTGGCGTTCGCACCGTACTCCTGGAGAGAAGGGCACAGCCGACTTGTAACGACGTAGGCTACACTGGCTCAATGAGCACAAGCATTGAGAGAGAGAGAGAGAGATCTATATATATATTAATATGTATTTGTATATATTTTTGTATGTGTATACATCATACATATATGAATATATGCATATTAATAAAATAATATGATATAATATGATATAATATAATATAATATGATATAATATAATAAAGTATAATATAATATAATATAATATAATATAATACAGCATAATATAGCATAATACAATATAATATAATACACTATAATGTAATACAATATAATATTATAATTTAATATAATTATAATATGATATAAGATAATATAATATAGAATAATTATAATATAATATAAAATAATAACATAATATAGTATAATAAATACAATATAATATAATATAATTTAATTTAATTTAATATAATATGATACGCCCTATGATATGATATGATTATAATATACTATAATATAATATAATTATAATATACTATACTATAATATAATATAACATAATACAATATAATATAATTACAATATAATTACAATATAATATAATGTATATATATATATATTACATATGTGTGCGTGTTATGATTATGGATGATTCTGGTTATGGATATGCCGATTGTCATACAGAATCTGAGTTTGCTCTGCAGCGACCATGTGCCCAAGCTCCAGAAGCGCCAGGATGCAATCTACTGCTCCAGCGTGGGCAGCTCTATGCAGGGGAGTTTGCTTGAGACTGTCGCGTTTGTCCGCGTCTGCGCCTGAACGGGTGGCCACACTATCCGAAAGCATGAGATGAAATGGTATCCAATTGATGCCAAATGGATCAAATGGTGTCAAGTGCTTCGTAACAGCCCATTGATTTCCAGGAAAGTGTCAAATGATCTAAAATACATTGAGTGTTTTTCCAGGCCTGCAGCCAGGAGGTCGACAACAATGTTCGCAAAGTTGCCTTCACAGGCTGCGTGGAGTGAAGTCTGCTGAGCATAGTTGCCTCTATCCTCGGCTGAAAAGAATACTGGACATACGGAAATCAGCTTGACCATACTTTCCACAAGAAGCATGTTTTGAGTGCTGATGACTGTCATCAAAACTCATTGAACTGATGTCCAACATTCAATCTCAGGCCAGAGAAGTACCACAGGAATACGCACAGGATGCACACATCAAATTCCAACAAGCATGGAAAAGAGCACGGATGACCCTCAATGTCCAATCATCAGAATAATGATTACCCTCTGGTTATTTAACATAGCCATGGTATAGATGGCCCATTTATAGATGGTTTACCTATTAAAAATGGTGATTTTCCATGGCTATGTTAGTCATAACCAGAGGCTATATTGATTATTGAGGTTGGGACACGCCTATGAGGATTCCGTTTCCCCACAGTCGGACTGCCCCAGATTCGATGTCAGCTCCTCTCTGCTGTAGCATGTGTACCATGTCTTGGTGCCCCCTCATCGCTGCGATGTGCAACAAGGAGCCCTGGCAATGCTGCTGTCAACTCCATTACCCTCTGGTAAACTAACATAGCTATGGAAAATCACCATTTTTAATGGGAAAACTCACTACAAATGGCCATTTTCAATAGCTATGTTAAATTACCAGAGGGTATCAATGTCAAATCAATGCAGCTCACAACATGCAGCTGCCAAAACCCACCCACACTGCATCAAGCTTGAACCCTTTGGATAGAATTCTTAACCCTGCTGATCAAGGATCAACAGCGCAAAGTTGATTTCAGACCCATGGACTCTGTTTGATGTTTCATGCTCATCACCTAACTGTCTCTATTCTCTGTTCACCAAGTAGTGTGGTGACAGGTAGAATCGGTAGAAGCCACGTGTCGAAACCTATTTCAGCCCAAAGCCCCAAAGGAAAAATATGGGAAAATCACACAAGTGACTCAGAATGACTCAGAATGACAGTAGCATCCTGTGATATCCCGTGCCTGATCAAACTGGACGGGCATGTTCACAGTATCCGGCCTTGCCAGGTGCTGGGACTTGGCACTTGGCACAAGGAGGTGAGCAGCTAACAGTTTGCAGCTCACATCAATTAACATCAGTAAATCAATGCATATCAATCCTAACCTCAGCTTAGCTAACCATCAATTCCATCTGATTCGCAATCTGATTCCATCGCCTGTCCAAGAGATATGAGTCCAAGTTCAGCAGGTCCTTCTTCGCACCCAGCTGCCGCAAGGCTTCCCGCGTTCTTTGGACTCGCTGACTCTCCTGTCAAGTTTTGCGTGGTTTTGCACTAGAAATATCTGTATTTTCAGGTTTCAGCTGGGTTATTACTATAATCCCAAATAGACTGATAAACCTATGAACGGGGAAACAAAACAACCGTTAAGCTAGCGACTCACGCCTTTTGTCCTGAGCCGCAATGCTAGTCAGCATGTTACTATAATACAGCTATGTTTTACATGGGATGCAAATACACCCCCCTCAGGTGAGCCGGACACGGCAAGGCTGCCCACTTACTAGGGCGAGGCTTTTACACCTGCCTTACCGAGCCAGCTCTTTGCAGACCTGAGGAAAACATACAAAAGTACAGCGGCTATATACAAACGATCGTCAATGCAAGCAGTGTCAGAATTTATCCCTCTTCCCATTCGACTCGGCCATGCCTGATAACCTTTTGGTACCAGCGCCCATGCCACTTCTGCCACTCATTGGTGAACTGTCGATCTTCACGGGAATGACTTTGCTGAGGGCGATTGAGCCACTGACTTGCTGACGTGGATGATGAGGCTACCTCTACGGTGGATGGTCGGGCAACCGGTTTGGCGGTGCCTTTCTTGGAGGGACCTTGGCCGTACGCTCCAGTCTGCTCAGCTTTGCGCTTGGCCTCATTCTGCTCTCGAGCCCTGTCAGACTGCTTCTTCTTCTCTGCAGCGTTCTGCTTGTACAGCTCCTCGTTTTGTCCCTTGATCCACCTCAAATGACGTTCAGCATCATGAACAGCAATGTTGTCAACACCAGTACAAGACAACAAAAGATTGTGTCCAGGATTCCGGTTGAGATAGTCAATGTACTCTTCCTCGGAGTAAATTTCCGTACGGTACATGTAGAACCATGGTTGGTCGATGTACCTGAACGATTTCGGGACATCAAGACGGCTTGCCAAATCCAAGTAAACCAGCCTCATCGCATTGTGCTCCAGCTGAGATTGCTCAGAAACACCCATCTTGACCTGAGCCTTGGTACGACCTGGCTTTGGCAAATGTGCAGACTTGAGGAGGTCGTACCTTTCACAATCGTACTCGTTCTCCCCCTCGTTCAGCACGCTCTCTGCGAATGTGGCGTCCTGGGCAAACCTGTCAGCCACAGACACATAGCCCAAGCTCAAGGCACGGTCGAATCGACTCTTTGCCCTTGCCAACAAACTGGCTTCCGGACTAGAGCTTCCTCTTGCCTGGTCGTCCAACAAACCCAAAGATTCAAGCTGATCATGTGTGATGCTCTGCAGGTACTCACCACGAAAATCATAGTACAAGCCCAGCTTGTGAAGGGCGGCCTTCCTTCGTTCTGCAATCTTGGTTCGGTCGGCCTTGTTCACCCCTTCGAGCATCAATCCACACACATCGCATTCAATCTGTCCCTTGAAAGTCTGTGCAAAACATCTTGAACATTGCGTGACTTCAATCTTGACCGGCACCGGCTTCTTGTCCTCCTTCTTCACCTCTTTCTTCGAAGGTTGGTCATCGCCTTTAGGGCGAGACTTCTGCTTTGGCACCAGTGACTTTGATGTTGATGCCGGCGTCTTTTTGGGTGACTCTGCAACTGGAGCTTTTGGATCTTTCTGTACTGCCTTCGGCGGTGCAACTTTTGAAACAGGCTCCAAGAAGGCCGCAGCTGATGATGCCGCAGGCACAGCTGCGGGCACGCTTGTCAGGGCTGCCTTCTTCTTTGCAGGTTCATCCTTTGCTGCTGCATCAACTTCTGAGGTCACAGCTTTTGGAACTTCTGGTGCATGAGGTGCAGAAGTCCCTTCCTTCGGTGATGGTTTTGGAGGCGCTTTTGGCGGTGTCTTTGGGCTTTCAACCTTTGCTGCAGGAGGCTTTGGAGCTACACCCTTCGGAGGAGGGGGCAACAATCTGCTGCTTGCATATCCAGGCATACCGGCAAGTTGGGCCACATTTGGTGGCGGAGGCTTCACCTTTCCTGGGAAAAATTCCGTTGCAGTGGGCGCGCCAGTTGAGGCGGCCGGAGACGTGGAACCAGTCCGTTTTGATGCCTTGGCCTCAAAGGTCTCGACAAGCTGCTGGACTCCAACTTCTCCCCCACTGCTCGCTGCAGACTGTGCGACCTCCTGCTGGCGACGATACAAATTCACCTTCTTGGCAGTGTCATCGACAGAGATAATGTATTGAGGCGGTACGACGTCACTTGTCAAAATGCCGTCAGAGGCCGTCCTGAAAAACACAATGCCAGCTTTGACAGCTTCAGCCATTGCTACCCTGATTTCAATGGGTCGTTCAGCACGCAAACCGCTCACATACTCTTTCTCGTCGACACGCACTTCGCTAAAATAGGAGTGTGCTCTGCCTGATGAATTTCGTCTCCTCCTCCAGCAACGAAGCCATTCTCAATGATGCCCTTCCAATTGCCTTTTGTAGTCCTGTGATAAACTACGCCGGGGCACATCTGAGGAGTGGTAATCTTTTTACCTTTGGCGTTCATTTTCTGGATCGCTGCTGCTCCAGACAGAGCATAGATTTCCACTGCATTGAACGTGTCCTCAGCTGAAGCGGCATCCATGGCACGTTTCGTATGCCCCTGCACTGCACGGATCCTGATGGGCCAGTAGGCTAACCCTTTACGGGTTGCCTTCTGGTACCCGGCAATGCACTGGAACTCAAAACGGCACTTGCTGTCCCAGTAGAGCAATGAAATAAGCTCTTCAACTGTCATTCGGGGCAACTTGGCTGGCAGCATTTGGTTGAACATTCGAAAGAAGTCATCAAGGTCAAGCCACATGTTTTCATCAAATCCAGAGGTGTCCTGACCCGGCTGTCCACGCGTCACTGCATTGACCTTGGTCTTGTGTCGGTCCATGCGATCTGGGTACCTCAGCTCCTTTGCCCCATCCATCTCCCAACAGGTTTTGACGATCAATTCGTAGGGATGGGCATCAACGACACAATGTTCAACTACTTCTGCATTTATGTTTTCGTCCAAAGTGATACGATATTTGTCAAGGTGCCCAAGTGCATGTTTCGGAATGATGGTACCCTTGATCTCGTTTTCTTGCAGGGGCTCACCAGTTGAGGTGGCCTGAGTTGAATCCTCCTGTGTCGTCTGAGGTTTCGCCTTGGGGTCAGGTGGAGCTGCGTGGCTGGCCTTGGCCTTGCCAACCGATGGGCCCTCATGCTCATCGGGATCCAGAGCATCCCATGGGTCGCCTTCTTCATCATCATCTTCAGCGACACCAGCATCGGTCGGGCGAGCTCTCAACTCCTCTGCTGTGAAGCTTTCTGGGGTCGAGACGCTCGGTGCAGATTTGTTCGTCTTCTCCCGGAGAGCATTGAGAACCTGCACAAACCTGACTGGGAGGTGCTCCATCTTTGGTGGGACATCACGCATTGTAGCTTCTCCTGCAGGGCGCCTGCGCTTGTACAAAGACAGGTTGTACTGAGGAATCAAGATGTCCGTCATGTGCAACATGTGGAGAGTTGCCATGACATATCCGATCATTTCACTTCGGTTGAGCTCGGTCTCGAATGCGTGAAAGTAGTCCCTGAGCTCAAGCCTCGGTGGAAGCATGTCATTCTGAATCCA